AGAGCGGGCACATCTGGGGAGCAGTCTAGGAGGGACCAACAGTGGCTGGGACCAGGGACACACGCAGACGCCTACATGGGGCAGGCGGGCTGTGAGGGAGCCAAGCCGGCTACACTCTTGGCAACAACACTTTGCATTTTAAACAGGTAGGATGTTTAAACTTTCTAGGACTTTCGCAAAGATTGAGTTCTCTCTCTCCTCGGTTTCGCTTGAAACATCTAGCTCTCATTTGCCTTTATCCCCTCCCTGTTTTAACAGAAATACCTCTCTTTCTTCCCGACTAGACTAAAAGAGAGGCAACAGCCTGAGCGTGATGGCAGGGGCGACAGGCACGAGGCTGTGGTGTCTGGAAGACAGTCGGGAGTGGCGGGGCCTGGGGCATCCTGCAGCTCTGCCATCCAACGGGTGCTGCAGCTCAGCTCTAGAAGACGTGCAGGCCCAAGGTTTCTAGATGATATTTTTCCAGGAAAGGCAGATGTCTTTGTGACAGCTGGATTTCTGTGGGATCATCCTTGATTTTTTTAAATGCCAGTGATAAATTTAAAACAAACAAACAAACAAAAATTGTTCAACTACATGGGTACTCAATAGAGCCAAATGTGAGGCTGCTGGTTGATGACCTTGGGACCCCTCTGAGTGTCCACAGTGCCTGATGGGGCAGAAGTTGTGGGCAAATTGACAGTCCCAGAGCAAGGGCCGAGGGCAGCCTGTTTTTCCAGGAGTTCCTCTGCCTGACCCCATACCCACTGTCCTAGTGGGTGATGGTCCATCATGGCGACGGCAGCTTCCGGTCTGGGACCAAGGGGGCTCCAGCCCGGGGCTGACTCCCCACAGCAAAAAACGGTTATGTGGACACCCGGCCTGCACGTTCTCATGGAAATGGCACCCGCGAGCACCGACAAGCACGCAGACGACAGTCCTGGGTAAAATGAGGTTTATCGGTAGGATGCGGTTTAAAATGGTTTTTAATTTTGAAAACACATTGAAGCCAGGGCTCACCATTCCAGTGGCTTCCTGGCCTGCTCTCTGCGAGGTGAGGGGTGCGACAAGAACACAGGGGTCAAAGCAGGGCTGGGGGGAGGGGCCCTCACTTCTTGCCCTTGCCTTTGCCCTTGCCCTTGCCCTTGCCCTTGCCCTTCTTGTCCTTCCCTTTGCCCTTGCCCCGCTTCCTCCTGGACTTGAGCATGGAGCGGACCAGGTAGCCCTTCCACACGGCCTGGATGAGCGTGGCGGCCCGCATCATGCGCGTCAGCTCCTGCTCGGCCTCCACCTTCTTCTTGTTGATGATCTCCCGCTCCTCGCGGATCTGGGCGAATTCCTCCACCAGCGCGTTGTACCTCTGCTTCAGCTCCTCCAGCTGGGCCTTCTCCTCCTTGTGGATGATGTCCAGCTCCTCGTACTCATCCTGGGGAAGGCCGGGATGGGGGGTCACCAGGCATCGGGCACGCCTGCGTTCTCCTCTGCATACAGCCCCTCCCTTCCCAAAGGGGCTTCTGCCCCAGCCAGATGCCAACTGCACTAAGCCTTTCTGCCTCCAAGGCCCGCATGAGAATGGGCGGGGAGATGCCGTGCTTCCTAGCTCGGGGTGGGACCCGACTGAAATAATTTCAGCAACAAGGAAAGAACACGGCTTGTGGGTTGGCTGGAGTGAGTTGAGAGTTTGGCCAGGCCTTAAGAGGTTCCGCCTTTCAAGCCTTCATTTTTCCTCATCTGAAACATGGGGACGATCCCAACCCCCAGGGTGGGGTAGATGGGAGCGGCTTCCAGGATTAAATGACGAGATAGATGGGATTACTGGATGCCGTTGCCAGGCGCACAGTGGGGACATAAAAAACGCAAGCTGCTGCCACCGAAGCTGCCCGTTCGGCAGAGATACCACAGTCGAACACTCTCAGGTGACCGTCCTCCAGTTCCTCCTTGTGTGTAACTGTGGCCTCTCCTGTTGTAATTCACACCTATTTCCCACCTTCTCTTCCACTAATGTTGACCAAGTATCTACCAGAAGCCAAGGACTTTTCAGAGGACACAGAGTTGACCAGGAATCCACCCCCTCCTTGGGACTAGAGAAACAAGGTCAAGTCTCTTGCTTAAGGTCACACGGCTGGTAAGACACTAGAGTAGACCCTCCAAAAGATAAGGGGGACTTTCTTCACTGCTATGTCCCAGCAGTGGCACGTCACATGCAGTCAGGTAGAGGCAAGCTCATGCCTGAGTCTGCTGGGGATAAGAGGGAACAGACAGTATGGGATGTGAACACTAGATGGAGCCAGGATCATAGGTCCTAGTGTCAAGCACTTCTTAGTGGCTCAAAGCTTCTGGCTCCTTCCTTTCCTACCTCTCCCCTCGCTGCCCCAAGCTAGACAAACCCTTGAGCCAAAGGAAAGGTCAGGAAGGGGGCCGGCTTCAGGCCCACGTTACAAGGCCCCCCTGGGGAGGCCCAGAACTTGGACCATCCTGGGGCTCCTCCTAATTCCCCATTCTAAGAGGGTCTTAGGAAATACACTCGAGAGAGACTTATGCAGCAACAAATACCTGCTTCTCACCCATCTCTATATCGTACTTCTGGATCCAGTTCTCAATTTCCGTCTCCACTTTATATTTCTTCTAAAAAAAAATCCAAAGACTAGTATTAACAGTAAACAGCACTCAGCACCATCCGCATCAGCCGGCCCTGTCACGGGTGCCTCACGCGCCTCGCCTATCCATACAGGTAGGTTCCCCTCCGTTTCACAGATGAGGAAGCCGAGGATCAGACGTGCTCACTCACTTGCCCAAGGTCACAGAGCTGATGGGTGCGAAAGCCTGGATTTGAAGCCAGCAGTCTGGCTCTCTAGAGCATTTTAAGCAGAGGGAGCAACAGGTGCAAAGGCCCAGGGGCGGGAACTAGTTTGTGGTTTTTAAAGAACAGAAGTCGAGCCAGGGTGGCTGGAACAGAGCGGCTGAGGAGGAGCCTGGTCCCAGGGAGGGCAGGATGAGAGGGACACGGAGGGAGTGTCAGAGGGGACGGGGCGTGGACTCTAGTGTAAGCAACAGGGGAAGTGACTGGGTGGATTTGATTTTGTTTTGAAAAGATCGGCTCTTATACATATTGCGGCTTGTTATTCAGCCATAAAAAGGAACGAAGTACCCGTAAATGCTACGTGGGCGAACTTTGACAACGCGATGCTAAGTGCAAGAAGCCAGACACAAAAGGCTGCGTATTACAAGATTCCATTCACGCGAAGTGCCCGGCATAGGCAAATCTATACAGATAGGTGGCTGTTGGGGGCGGGAGGGTGGGGAGCGTGGGGAGCAACCGCTTCATGCATGTGGGGTTTTCTTTTGAGAGGACGAAATGTTTTTTGGACCTGGTCAGAGGTGATGGTCGCACAACACTGTAAAGGCACGAAATGCCGTGGGATTGTTCACTTTAAAATGGTTAACTTTCTTATGGGACTTTCACCTTAATTTAAAAAAAAAAAAGGGTGTGCTGGCCTCAGGGGGCCCGCGACCCCCAAGAATCGTTGCACCAGCACGTTCATGGGCACGTAGGCCCACGGCTGCCATCAGATGCGCAAGGGTCGTGACCTTAAGCGGAAACCGGGAACAAGAGTTAGAGAGGGTGGTGCCCTTCACGAGGAAAGCGAGGGCCGTGGAAGGAAGCTGGGTGCCTACTGGGCCTCGGTCTCGGCTGAGGTGGTGGAGAAGGCTAATGAAGAAACGATATTTATGGAGCGCCTACTATGCGCCAGCTCTCTATCATCTCCTTTAGTTCTCGTAATGACCCATGAAGACTTTCATTTTCAAGGTGTGAAACCTGAGGCTCAGAGGGAGTTAAGTAACTGGACTCAGGTTCATGTGCTCCTTCCTTCCCTTCGCATGGTATGTGAGCAAGGTTGGTGTTAGCATCCCTGTGGGGCTCAGAGGAGTTAGAGAACTTGCCCAAGGTCACAGAGCCGAGGTGCAGCAGGACGGGACCTGGTCTCTCTGTCCCCAGTCCCCGGGGCTACACCCTCCTGCCTCCCGGGGGATGCTGGCTCAATCCTGGGCTCCCCTTGCTCCCTGGGTGGCTGCGGCAACCCTGCCATGCCCTAC